TTGTTAATATATTTTATTCTTTTCTGAATGAGCTGACTTTTCTGCTTATCTTTTATTCTCTATCAAATTTTAATTTCGTAGTAAATTCATATCTCGATTTTTACTTGCTAGAGAAATAGTTCGACCCTTATTTAATTTGTATTGCTTTTAGTGGGACATTAAGACCTTTCATCTGCTGCACACCGTACCGGCATTGGACCAATGTAAAATCGTGTTTAATGGAACAGCTGATATCATTTACGGAGGTGAGTACTATGATTCTATTTTAGGGTTTGGTAGTTAGTTCAGCATTAAACGGGGATGTCTTCAAAACAATTTCTGTCCACATATGCTTACGGTAATAAGAAGTATTACAACGTTATGTTTATTAAAGCCGTCATCCACTCTTTTTTAAATTTGCTTCTTCCACTCATAATTCATGACTGCATCAAGTGAACAATATATTTTTAATAAGATTATTAACTTTATAAAACGAGTACATAATATTCAGAGATAAGAAATTCGTAGTTTCAAAATGATTATTGTTTCAGTCTTTATTTTTTATTTAAGCTGTCCAGGATTTTGAGGATATGGAGGACTCTGAAAGGCCAGGCGTCAAAAGTCCCTTTGGTTCTTCTTTTCGGACTTTCGATGCTGCCGACTACTCATTAATAGGTATAAAAATAGAAAGCATGTATTTTACTCGACTTTTTTTATTGCCTTTAAACTTTTTAGCAACCATCGATATTAAGAAAAACATATTTGATCTGTGCACCAACAAGTCAGACAACTACGTGGCCATAATTGAGGTAGTTACACGAGGCAAATTGCCGGAGTAATTTCCTGCTTCTTCAATGTAATTAATCTTCAGAATCAAGGTTTAAACCAAGACTTGCATTCAATGGGTGAAAACGTGTGCAGGCTTTACGAAGTAGGCATGAAACGTGAATCAGAGGCTGATCAAGAACAGGTATCATTTTACTTTAATCAGGGGTGTTTATGTTCATTCATTCTTAAAAGTATCGTAACTGTCTGGTTAGTAGTAGGTAACGGCTAGTTATGAAAATTTTCTAATACTTTTTTTGATCCATGGTAAGAGATACATGTAAGATATTAAAGTTTACGGCAACGCCAAATATTATTACATAAAACGTAGGCAAATATGCTATAGTAGCACTAATATGAAAATAGATCCCAGTTAACGAAACGCGTTGTATTCAACTTTAACATGGCACTTGGATGTTTCACCAGGAGTCGAGAAGCTGAATTAATGATCGGTCAGAGTCAGAAAGAATTTGACGAACAAACTGATTTTTATTTTAAGCTGATTTTACGTTACATCATTCTTTACTTAAAGAAATCATCAAGAGACAATTGTTTCGAAGGGCTTAGGAGGTAGACGCCTCGAAAGGTGTATTAGACGATCAGAATTTCTGCTTAAAAAATTAGATACTTCTGCATAGTATTGGGTGACGAATGGAAGCGTTGCGCATCTCATCAGGCGATCTTCAATCACTGACATAATAGTGGTCGTTGCTACGCAGCCCTGTTTGCGCATGCCGCAGATTTAAGAACAGAGGTTCTTAGGTTGGTCCAAGCGGCTGTAAACGTTCACAGTGGAGTATCGTTTCATGTTCCTGACGGCAACACCAACCTGCACCGAAGAGTAATCGATTATGAAAGAAACAGTTATATGTCGCCAGCGGCCGCAGGCAGTTCGCTGGCTGAACTGATGATGATGCAAACCATGTGTGATTGATGATCATTCCACAGCCGATGAATTAAAACGGTCTTATCAGACCAGGGAAAATTTAAGAGTGCAATTCATTTCAATAATTCCGTTGGTCAGGCGGCGTCGATGCCGTAAGACATGATTTTTTCTCGCTGAAAAGATATTTAACCTCTTTTCCAAACAAAATTCGTCTCTTTTTACGACTAGCACACTTTAAGACCAATCAGCTTTCATTACTGATTCATGTAGGCGAAGATCGAGAGTATTCCTTAAAGATTAGGAATACTGAAAAATGATGAATCTTGCTGCTGTTATCAGCTTCACACCCTACTCAGCATCATATAGAATGTAGTTGTCGTTCATTTGTGTCTGTGTATCCAGACATGACCCCAGGATCGCTTGAATTGAATATTCCAGAAGTAAAACATGCAATAAAATTGTTTAGGACGATGAAGTCGAAGACGAAGATGAAGACGTGGAGGACGAAACCGAAGCAGAAGACGACGGTTTTTCAGACGCTGATTTTGGTGATGATGAGGACGGCAACGAAAATGGGGACAATGCTGAACACGCAGAAGACAACTATGACGAGGACGATAATACGAGTAATGGCTACTTAGCCGAATCATCTTTAGATGACGACAGCACCGACAGTTCTTATTCTCCCAGCGAAAGTGATCGCTCAGATTTCACCGATACGTTGCGTTTTTTCATCTGATTTCAGTGTTGTACTGTTCAGACAGTAAATGGTTACTTCTAATTGTAAAAGTAATTAATGCTACCGAAGTGAACGCGAATTCTGACTAGCGAATTTGTCTTATTACATGAAGACAACATCGATTAAACATCCGCTTTCATTAATAGTTGCAATTTGCAAATAATATCGAGGGTCAGTTGCGTATTTTCAGATTTGGTCCGGACAGTTTCTTCTAAAATTCTACGTGGTCAGTGGTACCTTCAAAACTTCAGGACCGTTTTGCACTTTGATAATAATAAGTTTGCTAATAACAGATTAGTAATAAATGCTGATAAATAGCAATAACATAAAAGAATGTTAATAAGATTTATTCGGTTGATAGACCAAAAACAGACATCTCTCTCCCCAGACTTTCGCTTTAAATTTCCTTTCAGTGCAATCATTTACCCCACCCAACGGAAAGTAATGTTGTTGCAGATAGTTTGGTTGGTAACTGGTAGAACCCTGCATGGATCGATCGTTTGATTTCCGGTAAGCAACATGACTAAACTAA